GCTCCTCGAGGAGGGACAACTTACAGGGCAACTCTAGCTCTGGGACAAATGGAGACGTTGGTGGCACCCGCTCGTAAAACTCGGTGATGAACCGGAGCAGAGGTGATACAAGCGAGTTGCACTTCTGAGCTGTTGCGTAATTCTCATCATGTCTGTTGTAGCAAACAGATTACATAAATGGTCTGATGATTACAGTGGCTCGAGTGTTATTTATGTCCGCCTGATCACAGAATTATCTGTATGAGCACGGAAGAGAAGTCATTTTATTAGCCATAAAGTTTTACGGGCTGCATGATAAATGGTGGGCTCTAGAGAGTTGTCGCGTGTTAGGCACAAGTCGTCTCACGTCATCAAATTTTCTTACCGACAATTTCGAGGGATCCTGAGCGACAATAAACTGATTTGGATAATTGAGAAGAAACTTAAAGGCAGTTGGCACGATGATTTGGTGCTCGGCCTAAAATGCTAGTAGGGCGCTATATAGTGGGGAAATGGCGAAAGAACGGAGTGAAACGGTCAAAATCCTGCGAAAAAGAGCCTCCGTTCTCAATGTGTTAGAAATCAATTTTGGACGAGTTTCCTGTAGGCATCTTGCCAATAACCGCTACCGAAGGTACGGCTGCATATGTGTACTCATATATCCATGCAGCATCACGGCCGCTTCATACCAATCCCTTCGCTTTACGGCTGCTATGTGTATTATAGGATATCCGCTTCAGTACCAACCCTTCACAAAGTGCTTAGCAAATGATCGGAGAGCGTCAGGAACAGTCGTCCATTTGTGGGCGGGCGGGCGTTTCGGGTCGGAATGTTGTGGCTTGATAGGGCCCTTATAAGGGCACCTCCCTTGGAAAAGGCATTATGCAGCGCCTGCTCAGGGTCGCGGATTCCGTCCTGCCAGGCGTATTAATCCTACTCGTCTTGCCCATGGGATTGGATCGTGCCAGCTGCCTTTAGATATAGAATGTTAGGGCACTGCAACCCACTGTGTTATACATGTTCAAACCACTACTCCGATTTCAAATCTGATGGTCTCTTTTTTTCCTAAACTGCTGTCCTCATCTGTGCTTTAGAAGCGGAAAATAATCAGAGGTTGACGTGGTTCGGGCGAAACGCCTCATTACGGTGGGCTCGCCTTGTTCTCTACGCTCTCTGGCAAGCTTGCGTCCATTCGTTCCCGAACGCGCGACATTGCCGCCTCAGCTTGCAAGACATTAGCCTCTGCGCGACTGTATTTAAGAGACAAGAAGCGTTGGCTATCCTTTTAGTGTTGCACCCCTTATTCTGAGATGGTCACGACGATAGGCGGGCCGATGAGAGAGGTGGCTCTCTTTCTCCACCCACGTCTTTGCCACTATGACAAGCGAGGACTTTGCCTTCAGCGGAACATTTAGCGTTGTTTTTTAGAGATAATCAGTGTAACTTGATAACAAAACAGCAATAATGTGGTACATTTCAATGTGCTGACACAGTGTGTTCTCTTCCTGAATTTGACCTTTCCACATCATCTATTCAATGACAATTGTACATGGATCCTAGTCCTTGCCCGTGTGGAGAAACGGATTTGCAGTTGCAGTAGCCTGCCACTTTCTCAGGTCGAAACTGCACTGAAATGCATGTGGAGGGTAGTGATGCTAGGATACGGTCTCCATACTCCGCCCGCGCTGTGCACGGCTGGCCGCACGCCTAATCATAGTCAAATGTCCTACTTGTCCGTCTCTATTGTTCTCTACCACTGAGTACGTGTTACGTTGTGGGACCATGTCATCGACGCAAGTGGTGCACCTTGAGTATAGCGCGGGCGGAGTAAGAACGCAGACTCGCGTACCATTACCCTGCAACCTCGTTCCCATGCACTATCGAGCGGTAAAAAGTGGCACGCTACTGCAGCTGCCCGTTCGCATCGTTCATGGCAAGAAGAACCATCCTCGGAGGTGAGTGTACAGTTTCTCTTCAATAGAGAGGCGTTATGTTGCTAGAAGGAGGTGTAGGGCGTCCATTCCGTGCTGCAGTCCTTCTGGATGAGAATTTACCGCCCCCTAAAACACTGACTAAGGCAGCGTTCAGACTTCGCGACGGCAGCGCCTCGGTCGCGCGTTCGGCGCGATCGATGCGCATGCTTTCGACTGCATCGATCGCGTCGAACGCGCGACCGAAGCGCTGCCGTCGCGAAGTCTGAACGCTGCCCAAAACAGGAGGACTGACAGGACGAAAACAACTCATTGAACATCGGCTGATACCTGCAGCTGGCCTCAGAGTGTTCACCTAACCCATGCAAAGTATACATTCCTTTAAAGACCTTTACCATGCATGTACAGGTCAGTAATCTGGCCTACTACGAGTAAAGTAAATTTGCTATTGTAGTGCTAAAAGAAGGTTCATCCAGTCCAGACAGGAGTTCTAATAGGTCAAGAAAAAGTAAGATGCCTTCGAAAACTGGTGGGAGCACAACCGTTGAGACACATCTACGGGAAATAAAAACTACAGAATAGGAGCTAGCCAAGAGTATAAGCCTTGACTAAGACACGAATTCTCCTTTGGAATTTTTTCAGGTATTGTTCTAAAACTGCTATCAAATATTGTTTGCCATATACCTGGAGTATCTGTAAAGGACACGTCTTACTTATTGTCATAAATAAGTTCACAGGCGTCACTACGCTCAGAAATGCGATGGCAGAACCGCCGTCAGATATACGTTTCAATTCTATGTGATTGGTTCTGCTAGTCAAGTCAATCACCTCTGCCACAAACAGTTGAAGCACTGGCCAGCTCAGAAACAAAAGTTGAAGCACTGCTCAGCTCAGGGAAGCACAATTCAGGTCACACCACGCTTGCAACTTCCATTCAGACGTGTAGAGAATATTTGAATGCGCATGGGCAGTCGTATACGCCCACGCGCTCGCTCCCTAACGAATAAATCCTCGTCGTTGCAAGAGTTCAGGATTGTGACTGCAAGGACTGCCTTCGGCTGATGTCCCTTGGCAATTAATCCACAACCACCTCACTGATGGACTAAATGATAGAATTCTATATCCACCTGCGCTTGTCGGTGGCAAAAACTGCTCCTGGCAAAAGGAACTCAACCTCAGTAAATTCCAACCAACCCAAAAATTATTTATTGGAGAGAAACGTAGCTCCTTTTTACAGGCCGCGAGACAGCATTACGTTATCAAGATAGCTTCTGGATACTACCCAATTCTTACCTATTCCCGTATGCGCCAATGTCCCCGGCTTGTTTCATTTTTTTTAATTTCGGTGCCATTCTGTAGTTCTTCAAATACCGTCGATGAATTCTGTGAGATCGGTCCTTCGAAGAAGGCCGCAGAGTTATTCGCTGAGAGCTATCAGAATCCCAGATAATGAAAAAGTGACCGCTATTAGCCGTAAAGAACACGTAGAAAGGTGTCGTCAACAATCAACAACATAACGACGGTTCTGCCACCTGTTTTCAGCTCCTGACATCCATAGATGCCTGCAGAATGAGACAGAAATGGATAACAGAACGTTTCTTGGTCAACAAAAGGACTATGTATGCGCATTATCATTAGGGAGAAGAAGAAGATCGCCGCTAAATTTCGCGTGCCTCACACTTTACAGTCCTAGTTAGCAGTGCAGTTAGTTGTAAGTAAAAGTGCGATATGGGTATTAATCATTTATGGAATAATCATAGAGGGCAGTACTATGTGAGCGTAACAACCTCCAGCTTTTTACGACATGATCAGTGCCAGGTAAGGGATCGGTTGGATACTCCAACTTGTTCCAAAGCCTTAGAAGGCGTAGTTCGGCTTTGTGGGAACATCGAAGGGCAAACAACGAAGTTTGCACAGGTCACTTGTAAAGTCCTGTAACCAAGATGGCTTATTTATGAAATATCGTAGCTTCACAGGAGTTTACAGGTCTCACTAAAGTGATACCTGTCAAATGACTTGAACGAGCAGAACGAACTATCGAAAGTACAAAATACCCTCCCAATCCAAATAACGCCTCCTTAGAGAGTGCTAGGGTAAGGCGACCCTGCACGCAACGCTCACTGTTTCTCCTGCAGACATAAAGGACTGGTAGACTCGCTAGACTGTTTTGCGCTCGCAGTCCTCTGTCACGCACAGTTTGTTCGCTGCGGATGATGGGGCGTGTCAGGGAGGAAGGGTTTGGCGTGGCGCTAGCCCTTTTCTCTCTTCTTTTCCCTTCAGCGAGTAAATCATATCGTTCGTGTCAGTCATTTTCCTCCAACTGTGGCCGCTTACGCGATTCAACAATTGGTGGAGAACGGATTGGCATCTCGCCTATGAGTTTTTGGAGGGACACCACCTCACCACCACCACCCTGTTAGTGAAAAAATTGCAACTGCACTCAAGGACAATATACTCCTCATCATTACGGACTGTCGGGGCGGGTCAGTGCGGCTGCGTTTTCCGCGGTTCCAAAGTCTTTCTGCACCAGTTGTTGAAGCGATCAAATGACATAACAGCATTATATCCTTCGTATTACTCGTTTTCTACCACTTTTTGTCGCATACGCGCTTCAAAGAAAAGGCTGAGAACGGCTTCAAACAGTGTGCGCACTCCTTCTGGCCGATACGCCCCGACAGTCCGTAATGATGAGGAGTGTAAAACTCATTTTACCAGCATCAAAAAATTCAAAAAGATATTGCACGGAAAAATTAGTATCCTGAAAAGGAGGTTCTGGCATCATTTAGTTTTGTCATTATTGAAGATATCCTCAGCAGAAGATCCATCAGTCAAGTGAGACGGACGCTACTATACGTACCTACCAAGTCAATCGATTATCGATCGTTTTATGTGGAAAGGGCAAAAGAACAACTGACAACTTTCTGACAAAATGACCACACACGAGTAAGGGTAAAGTAAAGAAGTGGAACGTTCATATGGCTAATGAAGTGATAAAAAGGGGAAATGGTAGTAGTGGTCGGGCCTGGAACATTCTCGATCCTCGACGACTGTTGGAGGACGTGGGGCAGATCTTCGATGAAACAGTATCGTCTAGTGCAAACGGAGACGTTTCCAGTTACGTGGCGGACCGTCAGGGTCTCCTCTCCTCGGGCATTTGCAGTACTGAAACGAGTAACATATTGGAGCGATGTGCATTACCAGTACATGTATTATTACCGTAGCATCTTTTCCTGGATTCCCAGGTGGACCGACTGGTCCCGGTTCACCGTCTGGACCTGCAGCTCCTTGAAATCCTTGGACTCCTAGAAATAGGAAAGGCTTAGTACACTTATTGATCACATCAATTTCAAAATTAAATGAACGTACCATCTCTACCCGGTGCACCCATCGACCCAACGTGCACATTTCGTCCAGGATAGCCTCGGGGTCCTTGTTCACCCGGCTCACCCGGTAAGCCACGTGGTCCCTGCACGTTTCATTGTTAGAAAACAGAACAATTAAGCCGGAAAATCTAGAATAGCATTCTAGAAGTCATACCTTTCTGCTCACGAGCTGCTCTCCGTCTTCTCCTTTTATTCCGGGCGGTCCTGTCTTTCCATCTGGCCCCGGTGGTCCAGGTGGACCTTGCGGACCAGGCATTCCAGGAGTGCCATCTCGACCTGGTTGTCCAGGTATTCCCTTGGCACCACGCATTCCACGCATTCCAGGTGGTCCAGGCTTGCCTCCGACACCTGGGGCTCCTGAAATGATATGGTAGATGCACATATCTGGGGATCTTGAACTGGTTCACTCTGTTCGCTTGATTTTTTCCGACTCGAATCGCTTTATTACTTTAGTACAGGTCAAAGGGGTAGCTGTAGGGTCAAAAAACGGCCCACGGCTCTGCTTCAACTCCACTGTTCTTGGTGAGCCATTGCAACTCTCGAAGTAGCGTGAAAAATCGCTAAAAATACCGGAAAAAATGAAAAGCGATCAGGGCTAGGTCTGGAAAGTGCGCCTACGACCCAAAAGTGCATGCTAAGAACGTCGGAGGTTGCGTTGTATCTCTGTTATATCCGCCACAATATCTCGGATCTTGCGAGAGGCAGCATGGGGAGATCTTCTACGAAGCAACCCCCT